TTTTTACCACTGGTTGTTCAACTCTGCCCCCAGGTGGACTGGCCAACCTGCATCCCAGGCTCACGGTTGTACGCAAGGTATAAACTCTAGCTGATGGAGAATCCAGTTTAGTTATTTAAGGGTTGAAAGAAATATATATTTAAAGTCATGGTCTGTTATTTTCACTTTTCTGTCTGTAGGTTGATGCTACTGATGCAAGCTATCCATCAGTGAATACATGTGTGCATTATCTAAAGTTGCCGGAATATTCTTCGGAGGAAATCATGAGAGAACGCCTGCTAGCTGCTACAATGGAGAAGGGCTTTCATCTCAATTGAGCTTTGAAGTGCAATGGGAGACATCAGAGACTTTTAAAATACTAGTAAAGCCTCTTGTGCTTGTGTGCAGAGAAGTTTGTGATCCTCCACGCTAATGACACTTGCCTTTTTCCCATCATTAAGGCTTTAAGAACATGTGGAATAAGTTCGTTAGCTGCTAATGACAAAACAAATCCTTTAACTACCCAGCCAGCCAGTACATAGCACAGAACACTGTTGCTACAAGGGCTTATGTGACTGGAATAAGGTGGTCCTACTTGACTGTTCCAAAGAGCAGCTTCTCAGATCTTCAGTGTTCACTGGTAAATTTCTAACAGTGTATTTGTGTAAAGTTTGTCATTTCATACTTCATACACTACAGTTGCCATCACTGATTCCTGTTTTGCTGGCTTTTAAGCTACTTGGTCAGAAATCCTGCTTCCTTAAAACTTAGAGAGTTAATGAGCATCTCAAGCTTTTTTTTTTTTTTTTCCTTTTTAATGATGCCTGCACTATCAGAGTATTCTAGTGTTCTCTCTTTGTTTGGCATATAATCATGCACAATCTTTTATTTCTTTGAGGTGGGAGTATATTTTTATTTCCTAAATGCCATGCTATAAAGATCAAATTCTTAAGTGTGTTTGTGCAGCTCAAAAATAAAGATATATTAAGGGGAAAGGAAAAAAAAAAAACACTGGTCTAGATGCAAGGCACACTTAAAGCAAGTTTTACTTTCTGTTGTATTTTCTTTGTATATTATAAACATTTATTTAACTTGTTGCAGTTTGAAGTAAGAAATTTCCAAAATGTATGCTCAACAATAATCATTAAAATGTTTGCAGCGTACAAAACTGTGTCGTGACTGTTTCACTGCAACCACCAGACCTGAGCTTTAACCAGATACTTTCATTTTGAATCATTGAGATTTAGTTTTTTGAAATTATAACATGAAGAAATGTATTCTTCTATAGTCGATACACTTACTGAAACTGGAAAACTAGAAGACATATATGTTTATATGCTTAATCGTGATCCATCTGTTGTGTTGTCTTTAAGTATTCTTTTGCTAAAAATGGCCGAGTTATTTATGTTAACTTTTTAAACACCACATCTGCTACTTACCGTTGTATCTGCAGGGATGTAAAATCTAAGATCCAAGAATGATTTTTGAATGTTGTGTTATTCTGAAAAACTACCAGGATACCGCTATTTTCTGATTTTGAAGGAGCTCCAGTTCCATTTTCCAGACTTCTCTGATTTAGCATATCTGTGCATTTAGGTGAAAGAAATGTTGCCAGGCTTGATTTAGCCAAATGGCTTTTTTAGGAGTGAAAGCATTGTTTTGGAATTGCCCATTATTTACCTGTTTAAAAGGTAGGTTCCCTTTCTACATTAGAAGAGGTATCTCCCACTACAATCATTTGAGTACTGTTTTTACATTCTGCATGAGAATGTTGTAACTATGTAATCAGAGGCAGCATTTAAATAACCTTATTGTTAGTTTCACAGTTCTCTGTGAGAATAAAAGTTAAAACATAATAGGAATATTTAAATGTATGACCTATGCTTTAATCCAAAAAAATAGTGGTGGTGATTGTCTCAATAAAGTCATGGATGCATTACTAAAACTTTATACTAGTATTAGAATTAAAATCCAATATATGCGTGTAGTATTGCCATTATTTAGGTCTCTAAAATGTCTGTCAGCAGCCAGCTTTTTCTAAGACTGCCTAGAACAGGGGTCAGCAAACTATGGCCTACCACTTGTTTTTGTATGGCCCATGAGCTAAGCGTTATTTAAAAATTTTTAAGTGGTTAAATCAAAATATTTTATGATGTGTAAATTTTATGAAATTCAAATTTCAGTATCCATAAATAAAGTTTCATTAGAACACAGCCATGCTTATTCATTTATGTATTATCTATGGCTGTTTTTGCATTATGGTGGCACAACTGAGTAGTTATAGCAAAGACCATATGGCCCACAAAGCCTAAAATATTTACTGTCTGGCCCTTTACAGAAAAAGTTTGCTAAATCCTTGCTATAGCAGGTAAAATTGATGAGTCTTGTAAAATCAGTTCACTGTCTGAAACGTCGTCCAAGAACAAGGTAAAGCTGACCAGTTTAAGACAAATTTCTTGAGTGTGAAAGTTACTTAAAGCTGGTAGTCACAGTTCAGCAATAAACCTGAAGTGAGATGATGGCATAGCCTGTAAGAACAGTCACATTATATTTCATTTGCATCAGTCAAGTGTTATGAGACATCTACTAGGGTCTCCACATATAGTAAGTACTTGAGTATTTTTTCCTGTGGTATCTAGTGTTTTTTTTTTTTTTAATTGTTATTCTCTCTCAAGGTACTTAAATCTGTGCCAAGATGTTATTCAAGTGCTATTTTGGTGTGACCCAAAAGTTAATTTTGTTCACTCCCTAGTTACTTATGGTGTACCAGTTTCAGCAGTTACCTCAATGTGCTACTGATTAAGTGCCTACCAACTAGGACAGTGTTTCCCAACTAATGTCTCAGAAAGACCTCCAAAGCACTTTGATCTAGGCCGGGCTTTCCTCAGACCTTGGTGACAGTGCAAAGGTGGATCTGTACACACACACTACCCACTGTTCCAGTAGGTCAGAAACATTTCCTCTGCCTTCCTGAATGAGTCCATTATTGACTGGTTGCCTGGCTCTTTATAGATGCAAACTTTGAAATATGTAAGTAGTTTAGGAATGGATAAAGAATTTAAAATCCCCCCTCCACATACACATGAGAAGAAAAAACAGTAAGCACTAAATGAATTATTAGTGCTAGAATGTCCATTTATGTCCTTTTGGAGGATAAAGTATTGTAGATGAAAGAACTCTTGGAATTCCATTGGATGGCACAAAATCTTAATGTACCAAGACTTTAATTCTATTTCCCCCATTGCACCTGCCCTCCTACATCTACATGGACATAAATATGCTTTTACTTAAGACAGTTCTATATGTTCTACTCTTGACTGAGCAGCAAAAGCATATGGAAAGTTTGGGCGGGGGGATGAGGGCATTGTTCTTCCATAGCAATTTAGCAGTTTTCTTTGCTTCAAGGCATTCCAGAAGGAGGGGTTGAAGGAATAAGTTAGGGAGGGGTGAGGAAAGGATAAATTTCATACCTACCTGAACAGAGATACCTTTTTGCCTTTTATTTTTAAACTTTGAACTAAAGTAAATTTCATTTACAAATAAGTTTACTAATAAGACAAACCCTTTATAATATGGCACAAAGGATAGTTTGCTTTTTTTAATGTATAACCATTTATTATTTGGTAGTAACATTCTCTATAGTTAATTACATTGACAGTATTGTAATTGCCAAGTGCCCATAAAATGGATATCAGGTTTTTAGAAACTGGCAAATAAAATTTAATTCTGCAGTATTCATTATGTATACAATAAAGTTTTGGCTTTTTAAGGAAAAAGATAGCATTCAGAAGACAAAGTACTATGTGTTTAAGTCAGTTTTACAATTGTATTGGCTGATAAACAGTTGCCACACTTTCTTCCCACCTCATGCTGCTATTTAATTTGCAAAGGGAAGCAGAGGCCAAAAATTTTATTTAAGAAAAGTTAAACAAGTGAAGAAGAAATGCTTATTGTTAAAAAATAAAACTTGTCTCTCCCTCAGAAAATTTTTCTTTGCACATCATTTTAAAATACAGTTTTGTTTTCTATTAGGAACTGAAAAACACCTACTTAAAATGTCTTTGGAAGGATACCCCATTTTTCAGTGTATGTTCTTCCAGATTCTTTGGGGCTACAGATGTTGAGAGGTATTCCATATTCTCATTTCCTATGTTGATGTTGCCTGGCAGAGCCTTCCATTATTCAGCTTTCTGACATCTTATCGAGAATTAGTAGAGGAGCAAGAATTCTTGCCCGATTCGTTTCCACAATGCAGCCATTTAACACCATTTCATCCAAAATGATGTGTACTTTGTCTAAATTAAACATTATCTAGGGTCATATTAAGGAAATTGGTTTTAGAGTTAACATTCAATAAGTAATAGCATAAATCAGCCTGTAAGTTTTCCAGTTTTTTTTTTTTTTACAGAATTCCTGAGATTAAATTTGAAATTGGTGTCTATATTATAAATTATCTTCATGCATACATACACACCTAGTTTCTCTTTGGTTAAGCTAACTAGATAATAGACATAGAAATAGAACAGCTACACTTTTTAGCTAGAGAACATAGAGAACTAAGCTGGAGAACATAGCAAGTGAAATTTGGTTAGAGCATCACCTGGCCTCAAGAACAATGTTGTTTTCCCAGATAATAATAGTAACAGCCACAATTTATTGAATATGCATTATGTTCTGGCATTGCGTTGAATGTTTTATATGTTATTTCAGTCTTCTCTATAACTCGTGATGCACATGTTAAATATTATCTTTGCTTTACATAGGAGCAAACAGACTCAAAGCTGTTGTCCAAGGTCATATAGCTAGTTAACTGCCAGAGCTAGAATTTCAGCCCAAAGTTTGGTCTTGACTGCTCTGCTTCTAGATTTCTCAGGAGGGGCCTGAGGCTACTGAGTATACACCTTCTCTTAGCCCTCAAACCTCCACCCCCAAATGCCTTTATAACCTTACATCATAACCTATCTTCTGTGTCTGAAAGGCTGAAGAAAAATAACCACGAGGAGGAATGAACGAAGACGACAAGGCAATCCTGATTCAATTCCCAAGTAGATAAAAATTCTGAATTTTAAGAGTACTTATAAATGGACAGCTCTAAAAATATTCATTTGAGAATTCTGGAGCCACTTTAGCTTACTGAAGTTCCTACTAGATAGTACAGGGCATTGGGGGAGAAGAAAATACTGTTGTTAGACTATGAAGTCTAGCTAATTAGAGCCAAATTGTTCTCCCAGGAGCCCCTTCATTCGAGTACCAAACTTTTGTGAAAGTAGAAGAAGAACCGGAATGAGATGATGACAGTGGTTAAATGTTTATGAATTCTTAGTTTCCATCTCTACTTAAAGAGCATTATCCTGGTTGGTTAAAAAATCAGCTGACATTATTTCAAATAGACAAACTTCATTCAACAACTGAGTGATTAAATGAACGAGGAGAGTTCATAATTAAATGGTGAATCTTTGTAAAGTGAATCATTACCACCTGATTTTTTCCCCAGTAATTCCAGATGTCCAAGTCTATACTGTATTTTTTTTAGTGAACTATATCTATAGAGACTAAGACAACCCTGTGAATGACTTTTAAGTTTCTATTAGGCTCTGCGGTAATATCTCATTAAGCTCTGTGCAAATAGTGTTCCAGCAGAATAAACTTTTTCAAGAGCCCATGGGAACTTTCCTTAAGTGACCCAGAAAAAAAAGCTTTACTCTGATACACCTATTAATAATATTTTCCAATTATATAGATGATTGTTTTGTCCATGGCCAAATTGGGACTAAAATATTAGGCCCCTGACTCAATCCTATTCACCAGACCCAAGAGCCAGAACTTAGAAGAAGCCAAGAAAGCAGGAAT